CTTCCAGAGAATATCGTTGTTAATTTAGGGCTTAGGTACATACGCTTCATGTTTTTTTACTAAACCTATTGACCAGAATTTTACTGAAAAGTGAATTTACTTTATTGTCAAATAAAAACATTTATACCTTCTCAACACGTGACTTTTATGGTGAGCGATACGTTTCCATATCCGAATATATTCCTACATTCAAACAGATCTTGAATGTATTGCGTGTGTACGAAGAGTCCGATACATAATATTAATGGTTGTACGTGTTCTAAATATCGCAAGATCATATTTTGAAAACAAGATCACGCTTGCTTATAATATGAGATATTTGTATTGAGATGTTTTGTTGCCTTGTATTTATAACTTATCATCAAACAACCGGCTCGTTTTATGGAATGCGGTTGTCGATACTAATTCTAATCTTAGAGTCGCTTCGAAAAAGGGGACCACTCTCCTGTATGGTGAAAGTACTTAAGGTTCTCTACCAATTCAAGCCCCTGTGATTTAATAATTATATTCTTGTATTTAATTAAAAGTCAGTCGAAGTGTGGTGCGTTTAAAAGAACAAAATAAATAGATATTGTCTTAGTATCCATACTCAACGTTTGTTTGTAATTAAATAAAGGATTATAAAGTAATCAGATTTGTCAAAGGATAATTATGAAAGAAAATTTACACAATTTCAAAATCAACCTAATGTAGATGTACGTGTAGTTGACTAACAATGTATTGTCAGGCGCAGATTTCAAAATGTGACACCGTTAGAAAAGAAACCAAACAATAAAGAAATTAAACGAAAATTAGGTTAATATTGGGAGATTCTTTAGCTTATTTTTAGGATAAAGATATTTCCAGAAATGCAAATAAGAAATAAAGGAACCCTTATACTATCATATGGTCAAAATTATCGATCTTATCGATTACCGAGGTCGACGAACAAATTATCTACATACAACTTTAAATGTGTATGTAATGTTTTGTGAGTAAAAATGTAAAATGTATGCGCGAATTAGACTCGACACTTTTCCGGTTTCTTCTGCTATGCAGGAATCAAAGACGTTAAAAAATACACCAACAAACTAGTGACCTTATACTTATCTCATTCAAACACTTAAAATTATTTTGACAATCGAACTCAAAGCCGTATTGGAAAAAAAAAAACATAAACGATATTGATAATTTTGCGGTATGACCAGTAATGATACAATTTAATTTGTTTTAATGTTTGCTATTAGCTTGTCGCACGGAACGGCACCAGTAAAGTACGGTAAATAACACAGTAATAGTGTTTTAATGGCCATGTACAGCTATGATAAATGTTGATTATTTGTTTATCGCGGAACAAGTCTTTAACGATGTATTCTATACAACATGACAAGTTTTAACAAATGTTTGGGTATGATGTGTTACTGCCATGTAATTTAAAGACGTGGGGTTTTTTGTCTTTTTAAGTATAATTATCATAATAAGTGGTTTTATATTTTAAATGAGGATATGCATGGGAGAGCCGGAGACACCGGAGTAATGCCTTGCCCCGCAGGAAACCGATCACTTCTGATATGCACACATTCAATTCATGAACGCATATCATCTCAATTCGGGTATGTAATTGGTATCCATGGGCGGCGGTAACTACTTACCATCACTTGGCCGGTCTGCTCGTTTAGCACACTACTATATTAAAAAAAAAAGTAAGAATAACTACAAAAAGTTTTAGTAGGTATTCGGTATTTAAATTCTTTAAGTACACATTACATTTTTTTATCTTAACATTAGTATTACATGCATAAATTATTATGGAGCATTAATTATATCTTATATAGAAAACAATTTTTAACGTAAACTGTGTGTCAGTCTCATGTTTCTAACCAGCAACCGGTCATAACAGCCAACCCCAATCCGATGCGAACATAATCCTGGCGCGAAATCCCTCGTGGGACTACAGAGTTCCGCAGTAATAAGCTCAACTGTACGTAATTTGTCTGTGTATATGCGATGAGTACATTTATTACTTGACTGTTCATATACCCTTATGATTTAAGTGGTCGAATCGCTTTAGGCAACGGATGTTGAAGTTGAATACAAAGAAATTGTGAACCTTATAAAGTTTTATTTTATTTTACTCACAATAGTTACTTAGATTTAAGATTTACATTTATTCAATACTCGTCAAACTTAATTGTTGAACGCGTTATAAAAAACGAAATATAAAAACATTTTATTATTAGTAAATATTTAAGTTAACATTATAAGGTACATTATTACATTATTTTTATAATATAATAATATTTCGGACACCTAACACAGAACGCCATCTAGTATCAAACTAAGCAAAGCTTGTACTATGAAAGCTAGATTAACTGATAGAATACTTATATATGTTTTTGTACATACATACATATTATCCATAGAAAACACCAAATCTCCGAAACAAATATTTTCAGATCATACAAACACTTGGTCCGACCCGGGAATCGAACCCGAGCCCTCAGCACAGCAGTCGCATAGGTGATGTAGTGGTAGCGCCACTACATCACCGAGGCAGTCAAATCTATACTAATATTATAAAGCTGAAGAGTTTGTTTGTTTGTTTGTTTGAACGCGCTAATCTCAGGAACTACTGGTCCGATTTGAAAAATTCTTTCAGTGTTAGATAGCCCATTTATCGAGGAAGGCTATATATCATCACGCTAAGACCAATAGGAGCGGGGCACCAATGAAGAATGTTTAAAAAACGGAGAAAATTTATTACTATTGAGAGAGGCAGACGAAGTTGCGCGGGTCAGCTAGTATAAATATATAGTAGTATAAATACATTCTTCAATCTTAATTCTAGTTTACCAGTACTTGTTTAAGGTCTTACCTCGGGTAACATGTACTTATAGATTCGGTCTCCATAATAATTTGTCACTCTTGGTTTGTTAAGTTTTTATTCCTAACCCTTGTAGTGTTCTACTTATTCTCAACATCATATTTATATTAATCAGTATAGTAATATTCGAAGCCTATTGAATACTCCGTTTCTTTCTCTATTAGTAATATTTTGCTAATAGGAAATTATTTAACATAATATTTCTTACTTGTAGGTCTGCAATGTCTTTTAAGTAATAGCTAAACAATTATTCCGTCTGTAAGGGCAAAGTATATAATTTTCATAGTATCTATAGTCAGCACTTTGTTTAGCTGATAGAACTTGCCTAACACAGATCTCAACTTACTACATACATCAAAAACATTTATCTTAAAATTATGATATTTATTAATTTTTAGGCCTTTTCTTTTCTTTTTTGTTGACGAGGTTGAAAATCCCTTCGGATCTCCTGCTCCTATTAGACTCAGGAGCCAGGAGTATGAGGTGATTTTAATGGAGAGCGACTGTCATAAAACCCTTATAACCAAAGAAGGCGATAGGGAAGTTCTGTAGAATGACTATTTGTTGGAGTTTTAAGGCTCTAACTTACCGTAACGATTGCCACAGTTGTTCTTATGGCAACCGGGACTAAGGGCTTTCTGAAGTACGGAGGGGTCTCGATGTGTTAAGAAAGGTCACCCATCCATAGACTGACCTGGCGGGTATTCCTTAACTTTGCATTGAGTTAACGTACTCGGTTACCACTTAGCCACGGGCTCCTACTAATAACTATTTGGAACACAAATAGAATAATATTACTGGGGCGTGTAAAACTTCAGATTATGCACCTTTTCTCCCTGTTCCCTTGTAAACAAATAAAAGAATTCAAATCTCAAATTTTATAAAACAGCACACAATCAAGCAACGGTTCTTTGTCCTCGCAGACTTCAACTTGACCTTCTTGATTGAGATCTTGACTAAATGTTGAAAATATTTACCGTGGTCATTATTTCCTCGCTTGAAAAGAGTCAACACACTTACTGTATTAATTAATTTTATTAAAGTCCACCTTTCTGGTTAAACATCATCTGATTACTACTTCTTTACTACTCGTATGTATTTAATTTCACACATTTAAACTACTTTTGACATTTATATTCATATTCAAGACGATTCCTTTTTTAGGTACAGAATCATATAATTATAATAATACATAATCATTTGTTTGGTGTCTGGGTGTAATTTATGTATAATATGTTTGTATTTAAAAATATATAAGTGTGTTAATCAGCAGTCTAGTCACCATAGCACAGGCTCTGCCTAGTTTCTCTCTCTCATCTCTGTAAGATGTGTGAGGTATATTATAAGGTATATTATTACTATTAATAAAATCAAATCCCAAATGTCTATGTTAAAGCAATTCTAAGGTATAATTAATTTAAAATTCACCAAGTATCTAACTCAATTCCATAAATACACGTGGTTTCGAAAATTACCACTAAATTTCTGATGAAAATAAATAAACAGGCGTACACACCTTGCCAATTTGATTGTTGAATTATTCATGATGTCTCACGCCGGCTCACACGAAGTAACCTGGGCGAGAGGGCCGAAGGGGAATGCGAGTACTCTCCAAACAACTCGTATCGTTGCTCGGGGGGAATATAACGAAATGGGCAACCAAGACACCGCCTCATTTAAGGGTCCAAATAAAAAATATATCTGAACTTATTACGGTAGCTTGAACGGCCACAGAAAGGATCATTATGATTAAGTGAGTACACGAAATAAGTAGGGTGGCTCTGTCAGCTATGTCTGAATAAGTTACAAAAAATACTACTATTTAAATAAAAGCAATAACATAATACTTAATAATTTTTTATTTGACCGTAAACCCTCAACTCATATCTGTAATATTTTGAAAGTACCTACTATAGTATCCTTAAAACTTTTCAATTACTTTTCTCCTACACCAATGAGCTCCGGTCCCTATGACAAAACAATGATTGTACTGGTCGTAAATAATAATACCAACTCATAACATCGACGAGACCTTATCTGACAGCTAATGTCAGATAACGAAACGATGTTAGTTTTTTTATTGAAGCATATAATTTTAATATAAGACTGTGATTAAAACGAGCATTGGCACTTTTCAATGGCTACCGTATATCACTTTCTGCAAGGCAAAGATGATTTTCTTGCGGAGTTGCAGGAGCGAACTGACTTTGCAGAGAACGTTCGGTACAAAAGGTTTAAAGCTGCGATGGTGTTTATAACTTTAAGTCGTAAATACCTTATTAAAAAACATATTGCATTACTATCAAGAAACGCCACAATAATACAGTGTGCATTCAGAAATTATAGGGCAAGGAAAGCATACCGCGCAGCACTGAGAAGAGCAGTTCGAAATAAACATGACAAACATTACGCTAGAGCTGCTACAATAATTCAGGTATGATTCATTTGTTCATTTATAAATTCAGTTTTATTACTATTAATTGATTTATATTAATTAATTACAATAATATTATAATAAGAAAGATACATCTAGCAAATCACCAATCTAAGAAGAAAAATAAACAGATTGCTTTTTATTTTTCTTCTTACCAGTGAGTCTGGGCATGGATTGAGTATTCATTCTATAAAGATGATGGTCGTTCATGACGAGCATAACCTACAAACCTCCTACTAACTCAGTAGGAGGTTTGTAGGTTATAAATCTAATATATAATATATGGGGGCTACATACGTACATATATTTGTCACTATAAATAAATATTTTTGGTCAAAATTAAATGTCGGTACAAATCATGTTCGCCAAGGCGAATTATAAAGTAATTGCTTCTCCCCTAGTAGATGAACTTATGTCAAACGCACTATGTGTATAATATGATCACATCAACAGCCTTTAATAGTCAACTGCTAGACATAGGCCTCTCCTTAGAAAGAAGGTTTTGGCCTACTATACCACGTATAATATGATTTATAGGTATATTTACTAGTGCGGGCTTCCAAGCATAAAGGTTCGCCATATATTCTACATCGATAAACAATTAAATGTTTATAAACAATACAGTAACGATGCAGCTATAATATATGAAGTAGACTCAATCAGTAACTAATAGCGAAATCCAGAAAACTAATTAACATATGAAAATGAAATTAGAAGTAGTAGGTATTGATTGATTGATTAGTTGATTGGTGATGACACATACATGATTGTATCTTACAGACATTTTTTTCTTTTTTGGTATCCCTTAGGCCCTGTGGCGTGGACATTATTCAAGAAGAACCAAGTTCTGCTACCGTACATATCGACGTTGGTTGTTTACTGTGACAGAAAGAGGGGAAAGACGCGCGGCAGAAGCAGCTGAGTTTGGTATTAGAAGTCGTGCTGATGATTTGAGAATTTTAGAAGAAGAAGCTCGCCAATGGCTAGCATTTGTTGTTTTCAAATTACATCATTTACTCAGAACCTACGTTTGCGCTGGAGTGTACTCGGAACCGGCCACAAACGAACTATCGGAATTCGAAAAGCTCCTAAAATCTATCCATTATACTGAATATATGAAGAGACTGAAGCGGAAATATGATGAGTTCGTAAGAAAGCATCGACCGGCTTTTTCAAATAAGAGGTTGTTTCCAATAATCGGGGACGGAACTGACTATTGGTATTTATCATTGGCAGAAATGTACGAACTAACTACTGAGACGCCTCCCAAACCGGATAATAGACATAAGGCAACACACCATGGGCGGATACATAAGCAACCTTTTCTTTGGAAAAAAGTAGGATCAGCAGATGTTTGCAAAAGTAGAGGTCCATTTACGCCACCTAGGACTATACGAATGTCTGAATCGCCACCCGCTCCAACTCCAACCCCAATATATAGTGAGAAACAAGAGCATTCAAAAGATCCTAGATTTCATCTCTATTTAAAACATTATAAACCAGAACCAGCCTTATTTGATTATGTCAACTTTCATATTAATGTATTGCTACGAAGGAAGATATCTGTACAGAATATCGATGGCAATGAATAAATAAGGTACTTTTACTCGTACATGAAATTAGATAAAATTTTCGTTGAACATTAACAACACCAGAGTGGTTTGTTTGAAAACACTTGGTTTTTTTTACATGGTTGGGTATTATTCCTCCCTTTTTTCTCGGATATCCGTAATCAGGCTGCTAAGTTTGGAAGGGTCGTCCGGATGTTGCCAGCCGCGAGCCTTTTGTTGTTACGCTTTTGTTGTTGTGAATTTTACACTTGTAATTTATTTCAGGAAACGCCTTGGTGAGAAAGAAATTACGTTAAACTCTCCAAGGAAAATGTGTTTTGTAAATTAACATTACGCTTGTATAGGTTTTGAGGTCGAATATTTTTTATTCGCAGTCCTAAATTATATTCTTACATTTATGTTTGTTCAACAAAATAAATTATGTTATTAGTGTGAAAATGAGAGAAGTTTGTGTGTTTCTTTTAAATACGAGTATTCTGTTTTTGAGTTTATTACTAAATTGAGTGTTCATAGTTGTTTTATCTAATTGTGAAATAAGTTAAATGTAACTTGGCTTAAATATAATTTTAAAAGGTAGCTACTTCTGGATTGAGATCAATTGTAAATAAGATTTTTGATTTTTAAATAAGAAGGAATATTTGTGAATTAGCTTGAAATATTGCACGGTAATAGCAGAGTAGTCTATTAATTGACCTCCTTCATTAATCAGAATGGTTTGTAATACATACACTTTTTAAGTGATAAATAAATGAAATATAGTTTTTGTTTCTATTTAAGGAAAATATGATCCAGACACATTCATTCGTATTATAAATATACATATATTTTTATACATACGTCTCTTGCGTGATACTATTTTTGTATTCAAATACACCCACGTACACAGCGAAATCACATATACGCTGAAATATGATAGTATTATTCTCCCGTTTATATTTTCGCTCCACTATATTATACTTGGAGTATCTCCTCTGTATGTCTTCAAACTCATTTGTCTTACAATGCCCGTTTGACTTGCCTCGCAAATTTATTAGGGTCAGAATAATGCAGGTTGTGGGTTTCTGAACCAACTCCTTATTGCACAGCCCGACTTAAGGCGGGTACCCATTTGTTAGACGTATAATGGTTGACCCACTTTACTTATGTGCCACGAAGCTGCTAAAATGGAGTTTGATTTACGTCGCGGAGCCACAGATAATTATTTTAACTATCATTTATTAGATTGTAGACTCTATTGAAACGCTACCTAAATTCAATATTTTTATATAAGTTTAGTTTCAAATTCAAGGTTACATAAACGATGATATAGGTTTATTTCTCTTTCAGTTGTGTGAACTTTGCGTCAACTGTAACTGTCAGCTTCGCTCTGAGGGTGTTTGGGATATGAATAATGTATAGGGTAAATTTGCAAGTGTTTCAATTTACACCCGCCGACACTCCACGGTGCTGATACGCACCCGAGTAGTTGAAGTGCAAAAAAGAAAACAACGAGGTGCGGCACGCGTGAAATGGGGGCTAGACGGCTGAACGCGAGCCTACCCTGACTGAACTAGCTATTTTCAAATATGACTGAAGTGCGACACTGAATTACTGTTTGTTTCACACCTCAGCTCTGTAAACAACTACTTATGCCTGCGTGTTAGTATTAAATGGTTGAGTATGTTTACACCCCTGACTCACCTTGAACGTAATTAGCATTTATACAGATGTGTTCCATATATTCTTATAAATAAGATGTACGTTTTCAGAAAAGAAAGAAATTAATAGGCAATTACCTGTAACCTGTCACGTTTCGCTGTGATACATTGTGGTTGAATAAAATAGATACTAATGTCCGTGTGGAGTATATGGATGGATGGATTAAGAATACAGAGTGTCACCATCCCTAGTCATCCCGTGGGTGTCGTAAGAGCCGACTAAGGGAGCAAACTACGCAGTACAACAGCACTGCATAGAGAAGGAAAACTTGACACAAACCCTATACCAACCCGTCTGGCCAGCGTGGTATAGTAGGCCAAAACCTCCTTTCTAAGGAGAGGCCTATGTCTAGCAGTAGACTATTAAAGGCTGTAAAAGTAAAAGTACGGCAAAGTGTAAAAGATACGGCATGTCACCACCACCTTTTTTTAAGCTATTGCATAGCTTCTATCGAGGGCCTTGAGCGCGGGGACCGAATCCAGAAATTCCGTAACGAAAAAAAACCTCACGCTAAAAGCAAAATCAAATGCTGAACGTCAAAGGAAATTTCGTCAACATAATGTAGAAAAATCTTACATGGATATGTAATTTGATTTAATAATAATATTTTTTATTTATTTATTTAAAAACAAATTGTAATATATGCTTCAATATTTTTATTTAATAAAAGAAAAAAAAATGTTTTCTTATCGGTCACCACGCTCAAAAAGTGTAACTTGAATTAATATCAAAGAAAAAGAAATACTGCATAAATAAAATAAATAAATAATTATAATTGCATAAGTTGATACAAAATGCTATGCAATAGCTTTACCGCGGCAGTCCCCGAGTGCCACACGTCTTTTTTTTTTTCCGTACGGAAATCCCCTCGGATACCACCTATCGGTGGCATGTCGGACTCGAACCGACTAAAACCGCACGCCGTCTCGGGTACTAATAGCCGGGGAACCAGGTATACCCTAAAAAGGAAGTCCCTGGTGCCCCGACATACCTCGGGCCATCTACAGACGAGTTGAAGCCCCCCCCCCCCGTGTGGGAACCCCATGTTCCCTCTGCTCTCTGGAAGCGAGCGAGCGAGCACCCCGGCCTGCTTCTGCTAGGGTGACAGATGGCCTCACCTGTCACCCCCAGGCCTGCGCTTATGGAGGACGAAGGTCGTTCTGCGACCTCCGGTGCCTGAGTCGCCTGCGGTACCTAGCCCGTTCCCGGGCCTGGCGGGCCGGGAGAGTTCTAAACCTCTCCCGGTCCCGCTCCGCCGTCTCCTTCGCGAGCATAACTTGCTCGCAGAAGGAGACGGCAGAGTTCCACGCACTCTCGCTCCGCACGATAGCCGCAATCAGACTATCGAGCGAGAGAACGCCCACTCCGATGGCCGCCACGAGGTCTCGCCTCTGCTTAACCCACGCCGGGCACTCTATCAGCGTGTGGAGAGCCGTGTCCACGGTCTGGCCATCGCAGTGGTGGCACTCAGGCGTTGGCTCCTTGCGGATCAGACACAGGTGATCCCCGAAACATCCTTTCCCAGTGATCACCTGCGTCAGTTGCCCGAGTCGTTCCCTCCACAATGTCACCACACCTCTTCATATAGTATACATTTAAGAATAAAAACATTTCAAAAAACAACAATTCTTAATCCGTCACCACACGGATAATTTTTTTAATTGTATTGAAAATTAGAAGCCACCTTCTTCTAATAGAGACTACTAGAGAGAGTAGAGAATAAATTATGTCTAACATTATTATTTTTATTATTTAAAAAAGACAACTCCCGCATTAGGAATAAGTATATGCTGTGTCGCGGGGGAGTTTACAAACATACATGAAACGGACACAAAGAGCACCCATTCCCAGAACAACAATTTGTGGATCACACAAAGTGTAGTCCCATATGGGGATCGGACCCACAGCACTTAGCGTAGTAGGAAGCGGCGTGGCGACCACTTCAACCACTACGCCATCCGTGCAGTCGTATATTAATTGTGTTTATTATAGTATACTAGTATACTCTTCCTGTTTTTTTTAGAAGCAATGTCAAAAAAAAATGAGTACCAAATCTTTCATTTCCCGATGTATTAGACAAGAAAATTAATATACAGTGATTTTTGTAATTTTCATTGCTACGGAAGCCCTTCGGTACCAAGATTACTCGTAGAAGAACGTAAGAAGTAGGTTTATGTTGTATGTGTGTAATCATGTCGACTCAAACAGTTTATTTACAGTGCGGCTCTGTTTAAACTATTTAATAAATCACATTTAGTAAAATAAAACTTATGAATGTTCCGTTACGTCATGGTAAAACCTTTTTTTCGTTTAAAACCAAGGAGCATTCCCACGACTACATTCCCTCAATTCTTAGACGGAATCTCAAGCTATTACCGGTAGAAGTTCCAAATCGATATCGCAGACTTGAGTAGGTCCGTGATCTGTATGAAAAATGCGGAACGAGTCGTGGTACGCAGTAATTAGTGGTTCACGGTACGCTTGAGCGCGCAAGGGCGGGTAGAGATACCACAAGTTCCTTCCATTGAGATATATATCAAATACACAGTATGAGTATGTTTACATCCTTTGCTGAATTAGAAATACCTTTTTTTGGATGTTTTTCGGAATGTACATGACACGCGAACTCTTTCAGCTCATAGCGAATTCTGAATGTTATAGATTTGTAAACGAATTGCTGAGAAATGTAAAATACGTGCTTAATAATATTTGAAGATTATATGTTTTTATTCTTAAATGTGTACTTATTATAAACACATCAATCGTAATGATCTTTATTTTGGTGTTTTAATTTTTAAACGATGGAATTATTTAAGTGAAGAATATTGAGTTTTTTATTGTATTTTAATCAGTTAAGGATACTTCACAGTACTACACCATTGTATAGTTTTCAGTACATACATAAAATCATGCCTATATTCGCGAAGGAGTAGTCAGAGGCCTAATATGCTATACATTTTGCACACTATAATATTAGTTCCACTTCTGTAAAGGGGACACGCCTCTTGCCTTCCACCGGGCACTCCAGGAATTAAATAAGAAAATTGGGAATATATTGAAAAAAGGGAAGGAAAAAGATATTGCTTATAAGAATAGCTCGTAGAATGCAACCAAAAGCTTGAGCCAATCAGGTCGCGTACCCGTAACTCTAAGTCTCGAGCCCTCTTAACTAATTTAATCTATGTATATTTAATTAAATGAGCTACTCATTTTATTATATGCAATACTTATGCAAACAAAACTTATGATATAATTCTAATTAATTATTTTAAATTTTGATATTAACATTTCAGAACATACATACAGTATGGTCACCCTACCGG